TGCCCCGTTATATGAAAAAAATAATATAAAATACAAAAACCAGGATTAGATTTTTTTTAATTATTGATCTTTCTAAAGGTAATAGGTTTCTTTAATAACCAGATTCTTTTAGGTGATTCTCGGATGTATTTAAATATTCACCAGTAGCGGTGTAAGCCGAAGATAATGCCTGATTGCTTTCTTATTCCCTAATAACGACTCACAGAAGACGGGCACCAAGCATGAAGTATACTCCCTTTCACGCTTATGAAGGGCTCAAAATATAATTTTTAAATTAATATCCCTTCTCACATGAAAAGGGCTCACATCAAATTTACATACCCAATATAACTTATTCGCTCCCCCATATTTTAAAAAAATTTGGGCAAGGCACACGGCTCCATGAAACCAACACACCAACGCCGTCTGCGGTGAGTGCCAACCAAAACCCGCACTCCCCCCCCAAGAAAGACGAGAAGTTGGTGAAAGGACCGTAATAGCGGTGTAAGCCGAAGATAATGCCTGATTGCTTTCTTATTCCCTAATAACGACTCACAGAAGACGGGCCCAAAGCATGTGGTATACTTCCTTTCACGCTTGTAAAGGGCTCAAAATATAATTTCTAAACTAATATCCCTTCTCACTTGAAAAAGTCTCACATCAAATTACATACTCAATATAACTTATTCGCTCCCCCATATTTAAAAAAAATTTGGGCAAGGCACACGGCTCCATGAAACCAACACACCAACGCCGTCTGCGGTGAGTGCCAACCAAAACCCGCACTCCCCCCCCAAGAAAGACGAGAAGTTGGGAGAAGACCGTAGTCCATTGCAAAGCTGGTATACCAACATAAAGAGGGCGTGGCCCCTTGGCAGTGCGTTAGCACAAACTTCGACCGTAGTTGCGTATGTAAATGCATGTAAACGCCATACAAGCCGACGACAAATCAAGCCTCAGTGAATGTACGTCAATACATAAGCACAAGTGGATTAAACGGGCATTCTGACCCTTTAATAAGCCCTCCGTAAGCGCCATCATCTTGCCAGGCCACCGCGACTGCAGACGTTTACTGAGATTCGTTAGTATTGTTAAAACATCATAAAGGAGATCAGACAGTCTGCAATCCAGTCATCAGGAACATGACTTGGACAAATCTACTTAGATGTGAATCAAACCGAGACGCCGAGTCGGCCATTGTGAATAGCCCCCTTTTCCAATCAAACTCAGTAAAAGGCAATGTAGCTATATGTAACAAGCATTAATACAACTATCGCAGGTCAGCACACCATCATCCAGAATATCCGCATCCACAGCAGACATCTACACCTCGAACCTCCATCAACCAGAACCATGGCATGCAATGATATTAGGCGCATATAACCCCGCAACTATGACACGACGCATATACCCGAAGGATCAATGTGACTACGCGTCGGTGGCGCACCCTCACATCACAAAAATGTCCCTTCAGGTCCTTACTTCCATATGATCTTGATATGGGACATTCATGTAACGTACTAATTTCATTTTAGTACTAGAGTCGTGATTGACCTCCGTATTTATAAAAGTACGATCAGACAAATGTGTCCCCGCGCAGTGATTTAATATTAATACACACAACACACGTTCAAGCTTCGTCGGATATCAGCACGTTTGTTTCTGGTGTCTGGAACGAAACGAAAATCAACCATAAATAACTTTGACATTGTTTAAAAACCTATCAAAATGTGTGATTTTTTCAATTAAGCAATTGCTATTAATATTAACTGTTAGTTTCCCAATGATGCACTTGTCCACCTTATATCTTGACACAGAAGAATTTTACTACACATTTAAGACTGTGCAGGAAATATGCAATCATTACAATTTCCAAAAGCGAAAAGAAATACCAATTAAAAAACTAAACATTTATAAAGTATTTCCAAAATATTTGATAGCTCCGATGCCACCTCAAGTTTGGCTTCTTATACAAATAAGTAAATAAAAAAAATCACCACAAAGTCTATAATTCAGCTTATTAGCTTCGTCACCATGTGATACATGGACCACAAACCATCGGGCTCACAAAAACTTTATGGGCTTCTTCTACTCCATTATATCAGCTTTCAGTTTATCTGAAGAAAACATGTAATTTAATCATTTCTAAAGGCAAATACAAAATACAATAGAAGTGAATAAACATTTATAAAATGTAAGCCTGTGGCGGCCAAACTCGGACACAATCTTTTAAGTACCTTAAAAGATTGTGACCGAGCTTGGCCGCCACAACCAATACACCGTTACAATTTATCCGCGTTAGTTTTCTGTGCCTTCTTTTTTATCCTGTACATTTGTACAGGATAAGAAGGAAAAAGAATTTTTCCTCGAAAAGTAATTTTTCTTTTCGAGTCATGGTCGTTTTGGTATCGTGATATGGTTGAATAGAATTTGGCCTTTTATTTTACCAATGCTCAGGGCGAGGGTGAAAATGTCAGTCAACCTTAAGTGGTTTAGATTAGTTAATATCCCTCCACTCATAACCTGTTGCTAAATTATCTTGACACACGAGGAATGATGAATATCTAGTGCAACTATCTGCAGATTCACATACTCCTGTCCTTTATATAAATGAAACTGTATTAGTGGCCTCCAACCTCCCCTGTAGCCACCCCAAGCCTCGCCTTAATTTTGTCTAGTCTGAAAACTGTTTCAAATCCGATTGCCCTGATCGCAGTCATCCAAAGAACACTGTTACCGAGATACCTAATCTGAGACCAACATCCGAGCGATATTTGTTTTTTTTTATGCGAAAAGTTGTCAAACGAGCAGACGGTTCACCTGATGTTAAGTGAATACCGCCGCCCATGGACATCTGCCACACCCGAGGGTTACAGATGCGTTGACAACCTTTTGAAAATTGGACTCCGGCTACCTCACTCACCAGAAGAAACGCGAAAGAATTTGTCATACTTCCACTTTACGCAGGTCTTCTGTTAGGTCGTGGTATTTGCCCGGACGGGCCTGCCCATTCGTGCAACAGTCGAGGCTGCTGCGTGGCCCTACCACCGTCGATCCTAGATTTGATAAAAGATACAATGATATGCAGTAACGGAAATGAGTCTGGAGGAAATAAATCAAATTTGCAATTTCCAAAGGCGAACTTGTCTTCTGTTGGTATTTGTCCAACAGAAATATTATTTGTATAATATTTTTCTATTATTAAACTCTTATTTAGCCGCATTGACGCAATATTGTCGCTTATTTAATTTTTAATAAATATTTTTTTAATTAATAGTTTAATTCATATGCGTATATTTTCTGTGTTTGACCATCAGACAGTTATTTCAAGAACCATAAAGTTATATTCAAACATGAATCGATGAAATAAAAGCGTGAGTAAAACGAGTGTCCACCACAGTATAATAAAATAGTCCACCATGCGACCCCACTGCGTATTGGCAGACTTCATACTATACATATCTTCGAAATATTTTCATTTTATTTTGAAAATACGCATGTTTCTTTAGGATAATTCTCTTTATCGCTGAGCATCTGATAAGTCAACACTTCCAATTGCAATTAACAGTTTTGTTGGTGCCAGCACTGGGAATTTGGACCCAGGTTGCATGAGCTCATAAAGAAAATGATTGATCAGATCATTATTTAATTAACTAGTACTGGAAAACAGTAAAAATGAATTATACGATAAGCTTAGTACACATCATAATTATAGTGTTCGTATAATTTTTTTGCCCTTTTTTTTAAAGAGTTTGTGTTTCCTTTTCTCTTTTAATGCTACTTCGGTTCGTACATGAGGGTTTTTAGTAATTAAAATGACTTAAAATTGTGCCAATGTTTATTGTGAGAATAATAGATTACAAAATAAATAAATCACAAAACATTTTTTTGATTTTACACATTTCAGATGAAATATAAAAGTAAATATTGACATTTGTGAATTTTATTTACTTTTAATTTTTTTTAATTATAGCACTAATAAAGTAAAGATAATATATTCCTAAATACTATATTATACTACTGGACTAAACAGGATTAATATCACATATTACATAAAACATTATGACAGGTACATAATATAAGTACTACACTTTTTTTAAAGATATGGCTTAATTGATATAACAGCTCTTCATTTATTTTCAACAATCAGACAAATGATTGTAATCATCTGTTATGGTTTACAATAAAATGTAGCGTACAATATCAAATTGAAAAATTATTACCAATTTACTAAATGTTACAATTAGATACATCATAGTGTTTAAATTATCACTACCTTTCTCACTATATACATTTTTCACTAATCATTCACCAGGTAAAAGTTAATAGAATAGTTTTCAATACTATATGCACATTCACAATTACTAGTGAGCTGTTCTTCAAATATCGTTTAGCGCTAGACTTCAATTTAATACTTTCAAATTAATATTTTGGATATTTCTTAGACTTAAATGACTATATATTTTTACGATGTGTAACCTTGCATATAAATCTATGAAACAATTTACAAAATTAAGGAAAACAGACAGGAAGGTCAAATTGCTTCAAATACCAAATCGATATTAACGTACCTACTTATTGGATATTAAATTTTGGTAAAAGTATTAACGTTTTTTCTCAAATTAAACAAACATTAAAAGACACACCAACATTTGTTTCGGGCAATCAAAGAGAATTTTGCAAAGTCTTTAGATAACCCTGAGCCAATTGTAACTCAACAAAACGTGCAATGAATGTCAAGAGAAATTAGCTTACAGCTATCAACGCAGATAGATATGGGTTACTTACCTTAACTTCACGGTGCAGCCGTAGCGATCAGTCGGCATTTGAAGGTTTGAACTAGACAACGTGGATTTTGGCAGACCGTCTCTGTACATCAGACAGTGACAAGTCGAATAATCAGGACGCCTCATTTTTATTATCATTCCCTTTTACTTTTAGTATCTCCATTTCACATTATTTGCTTATCATTGTTTTCGAGTTGAAATGAGGTGTTAACGTAAATATGTTTCCAATATTCAATCGTTTTGTGGCGCAGAAGTTGTTCCGTCGTCGAAATTAAAGGCTTCATAGCACTAGAAATGGAAAAAAAAATCAAAGCTTTTAAAAATTGTTAACCCGTGTTTGTAAATAATTGCTTGGCTTTTAATATTCTCTGGGAGTAGTGAATAAAACTGGGTAACGATGTATGTATATGAGAGATTAAGGTTTTTTTGTTTATTTCAGAATATTTTATAGCCTTAATACCTACTGATTGACTATTGATGGTCGGCGACACACAGTTCAGCCGTATCTTCCGTCAAGACCACTTTGGTGTCTCGAACCAATCCCATGCGGCGTGCGCACACAATGGCATACAATTGAACAATATAATACAGTTTTTACTTCATTTTTGGGAAGAACAGGATTAATTAAATCAAGAAGCGAACCAGTATGAATATCTTTTACTAATAGGAACCTTACTTAGCGAATCCATGCATTGGTATAACTCATGTTGCTATTGCATTCTTATTCTCATTCCAACTAGGTAAAGTTGCCAAAATATGTCCATCATTTTGTTATTTGTATTGGCTAGGTATTTTATAACTGGCTGCCTGCCTGATTTCAACCCTCCTTGGTAATAAACACACACACACAGATACGGAACAATTGTTTGTCGTTTACACAAATTCAAGAGGGAATCGAACCCACTACCCTTGGCACCGTAGCTAATAGCTTAGCAACTCCGCCACTGAGTTATTAACGCAATTGTTAACCGTTTTCTACAAAGACTCAGATGGAATTACATCCAGATTGCAGCCTTCTTCAGTCATTCTTAAGGTTTATTCATAAGTAAAACAAGTAAAGTCCATTCCAATTCTTTTTTACCAATCAAATATCGAAAGTAACCTTTGAATTCCTTCCCAGTCTGTTGCAAAAGCAGTTGTAACCTTTTTATGGAAGCAGCTAGCAATCGCATTCTACAAAGACTCAGACGGCGCTATATCGGCTTTTTATCTTATTTGTTCGGCTTTCGTCAGTCATACTAAGGATTTATTCATTAGTCAAAGAGAAAGTCCATCCGGTTCTTTTGTACCAATAAAACAACAATTAATCGAAAGTAGCCTTTCAATTCCTTTTATATTAAGTCCTTTTGCAAACGAAGTTGATAACGGCTTTCTACAAAGACTCTGGCGTTATTATATTGTGAGTTCGGCCTTCTTCAGTCTTACTATTTATTCATAAGTCAAACATAAACTTCATTCGATACTTTTTCAATTCCTTGTCATAGTAAGTATTTTTGCAAAAGCACTTGACAACCGCATTCTACAAAGACTCATGCAGCGCTTAATCGAGATTTTGTCCTTCTTCAGTCATACTAAGTATTTTCCATAACTTAAACAGCAAGTCCATCTGATTCTTTTGCTCCAATAAAACTCCAATTAAACATCGAATATAAACTTTCAATACCTTGTCATAGTACGTTATTTTTCAATTCTTATTTAAACGCAATAGAAAGAATAAAGTGTTTTTGGTCTTACATCGTGATTTGCGTGCATTAGTGGGTGATAAGTAAAAAATAAATTTGTACTTACGTGGGCATCGGCAAAGAGAACCGTTGACGGGAAAAAAATGTTACAACACAATTATATCCTAAACATAGTATGTGTACAGTGAAGATAGTGATATACATATGTATTGAGTGAGCAGATATGCAAATAATACAGCTCCTTAGTGATGTGCGATGTAGAGATGGTTGTGCTAAAACGCTAGCGAGATAGTAATTTCTAAACTGTGCTGCGTGTTCGTTCTTATGCTCTACGTACGTGACATTGTTCAGCGAAAACCAACGAGGATGTTAATTAAAAGGTGCTAATCTTGTAACAAAACAACGGTAATTTCAAAAGCGATGAAGTAATGTTCTGTTGAAGCCGCAAGCACCGAGTTTGTGATTTGAAGAACATATAACGCTACGAATCACCACAGTGATACTTCCACAGCCCCCATGCGTGTATGCCTTATGAATCGTTGGTATGTTTTGTGCGCGATAAGAGTAACAAGTAAGACTGTAAACGAATCTTGAGTATAGTCTCTCTAAGATCTAATTAAGCTTAGTCTTGGTCCTAAGATTGTCAACCGTGTATTGTTTCGTCCTATCCTGTCATATAACATATTTGTTTATATAATAATAGAGTGAGAAATCATAAAAATATGCATGCATCCTCAATAATTGCACTCGATACATGTTGTCACCGTCCACGCACGACATTTAAAACTTGTTAAAAGAAAATACATCAATCATATCCAATACTATATAACGTAACAATGAATACAAAACATTTTTTTCAATTGTCTGAATGTCCCCTAAATCTCCATTAAACATCGGCTTGCCATCTCTTTTCCAATTTTTAACATAAAACATTCAAAGCATATGTCATAGTAACAATATCAAACTTATGTCACATTGAAAAAACTTAGATTAAATACATTAGACTTACACTTAAATTTGGATTATCATTCATGGTTTGCCAATTCTTTACTAACTACTACATATTTTTTTGCACTTATCCAGTTCCTTAGTTGTCATAGTACTAGCTGTTACCCACGGATTTAAATTGAGTTGCTTATCATACACGACACATTCGTGGTGCAAGGATAACTAAGTAACAATTACACGATTAAGAGATACTTAAAAGGACCCGGTGTAACGCTGACGCAGAGATATACTGGAGATTTAAGCCAACCTCAATAAAAGTATGCCGGTGAACATCTGTTGGGCGTAATTATTTTTGAAGTGTTTTTACCCATGCACCCATCAGAACGCAGGAAAGAGCCCACCTTTCAACAATTCAACTACAAATATAATTTTATATCGGTATTTGTATATTTTTATAGGTTATATTTCCAACTAAAAATTTATATCAATCCATAGATTATTTACGAAGTTAAAATAATACCAACCAATTGTTACTTTTAGTACGGGATGATTCTCCTAATACGCATATTAGTGGAGTTTCGCGCTAAAAAGTTTAAGTATATAATTAAAATGTGCTTTTCAAAATATTTAATATTGTAATTATGAGAAATCCCCCATCGAAATGTTACGTGAGCCCACACGTCAAACATGTGACATTTGTCATTCTGCCTTCAAATACCTGACCATATTTATCTAACAAGTTAAAGATTAATAAATGTATATATACAAACTTAAAAATGTTGTACAAAATTCCAGACACTAAATAAACTGCCAATTATGTTACTACATTTCAGGTACAAAAAATTCAAAACTAACTAACAATTACACGCTCAATACCATATCGCATCTAAATATATACATAATTACATCAAATTTATATTTTACACTTAAATTTCGATGTTTATTCATGGTTTGCCAATTTGTTGTAACTACTACATAATTTGTTAACATATCCTATTCTTCAGTTTACATTGTATGGTCATTTAAATAACTGACCCTTTTTTACCTTCAAGCATACAATAACTGTTTATAAAGGTTAATTTAAACAATATAATTCAAGTTGTCCTCAACCCGTTAAACCTAAAGTAAGCTACATAATCAATATTAATCAAATGTATGTATAAACACAACCATCAAACAGTACCACACGAAAATCGACAGCAATATCCAGAACTTTGAAAGGTTAATACAAATAGTTTACAGTTTGGCACGACCGTGAGCGATACAGAACGATTGAAATACTGAATAACTTGTACACACAAATTAAGCCTGATGTTCTCGAATTCTCACAAGGCAACACACGATGCATGCCCGAACCGAATTACGCATAACTTCTATTTTAATATAATCTATATACTAAAAGTACTAAAATTTCAAAGTTATGTAAAGTCAAAGGCAACTTGTGTTAAACGATTTAAAAATTATTGATAAATGTCATGTCAAAATAAAAAATATTTATATGCCTCTACGCAACAAAATATTGCCTATGTATTAAAATACGTATATTTCTCGTGGATACAGTCTATGATTGTGCTTATCGTTCGTCACACTACGATGCGAGCAAAATAAATCTAACCTAACCTCGGCCCGGAACTATTCTGAAAGTGTTTTTGGCGTAGTGGATAGTGACCCTGTCTCTTGCGCCAGAGGGGGTATTGGTTAACATATAGTTTTACTAGTGTGTGTGGGTGTTTATTTATCTATAATATGTTTATTTACAAAAGCAAAGCACGTTTCAGTATGTTATTCAGTTGCCTAGTAACCAACCATAGTTCAAACTTTGCTTAGTTTGGGACTAGACAGCGTTATATAAAAATATGTCCCGTAATATTTATATATTTATTAGATATTATAAGAAAAGATAGAGCGTGTTGTAAAAGTTAAGAGTATACTATAGTGTGCTACAAACATTTGGAATAGATACGAAAATCCTACCTTTTCGATGACGAGTATAAGGAGACCACTGCAACGACGGATTTCATTGTCGGGTACAGTACCTGTATAATAAATGATCTATTTCAGTCACACTGCTTTGATATGAACGCAAATGTTAATTACGTACACCTAACGTCTGCCGTTATAGTTGCTATACTTTATAAATCACGATGTAAGATTTACAAACCCATGTGGTAAAATTTACCGTTACAGTTTTTTTTTTCTTATGTGAGAAATGTGGCAAACGAGCTGGCGGTTCACCTGATGTTAAGTGAGAATCGCCTGCCCATGGACATTTGTAACACCCGTAGGTTTGCAGATGCGTTGCCATCTCTTAATAATGTGGGCCCCGGCTAACTCACTCACCAGACGAAACGCAGAAATGCAACACTTCTACTTTACGCCGGTCTTTTGTGAGGTCGTGGTACTAACCCGGACGGACTTGCTCATTCGTGCAACAGCGAACACTGTTGCGAGGTCCTACCACCGTTAAACCGTTGTCAAACTGTTTTATCGAATAACTGTTTTACGAAAGAGATACAGACAAACGTATACCATTTTGTAATTTAATCATCGTAACAGACTGTCTAATTTTTGGGGAATTCTCGGATAAAAAAACAACATTAAATAACAATGTTACGAACTCACCTTTAAAAGCCGATGTATATGGCAAACATCGTTGAGGCCCCTTTCCGGTGATAAACAATGCAGCCGTTTTGGGATGTATTGACGGGATCGATTAGAATCTGTCTGGTGCCACCACTCTCGGACGTCCAGCTCAAACAGACCATTAATTCTTCACACTGAAATGTTCAATTTGCTAATAATGTGTTTCAGGACATTTGATGGTAGATAGTATATCATTGGTAGGCTTTGGCATCGGTTGTGAGTTCGATTCCCACACGGGACAAGTATTTGTGTGACCCATAGATGATTGTCCCGGATTTGGGTGTTGGTTTACCAAGGAGGGTCGACGTTGGGCAGGCGGCCGATGTTAATAATCATTAAAACCGCTTAAAACATGATTCTCATGTTGTGCCGAACCTACTTAGGTGGGATAACGGCAGGACAAGATATGTACGTTTGTGTTTCAGCATAATTTAAACGGTTATAATTCCCACGGACGAGTAAAATAACAGGCCTACCTGTTACGAAAATCGAAAGTGAAGCATAATAATTAAGCCGCACCGTTTAAAATAAAACAATGGCGTCTTGTGAAGTGAAATGGTGTAAGAAATAGTATTATTAAAAAAAGTGACAAGGAATAACATATCATAGGTAAAAATTTATAACATATCACAAGTATGTATGGAATTTTAAAAGCTTTTCGGAAAAATATTTAGCCATCAAATTTTATCATATTTTCAAACTTGAATGTATACCAAGCACGTACAAAGTTCTTAGAAAATGATAAAATGGCTCTAAATGTAGATAGATGCTAACACTTTTATTGTTGTCATTTTTGTATTCACTTTAGTGGTAAATTTAAAAGGTGTGATCTGTGTCGGATCTGTGACTAATTTTGAACCCAACCTAATGCACTATAAGAATCCACAGAATACCTTTATTTCTTGTTTTAAATATTGCGGCATAATAAAATTACATTTTAACTTCCCACTAGTGGCAGAATATTCATTTTTTATTAAATGGCCACCGGTGAAAGACAATACACTTAGTCTTAAACATTTCGATCAAATAATATAAGTGAACCCCTTGTGCAGTTTAATTTAAATAATTGAATAAACTTGCAAATAATAAAATAATATGGCAAGTTTTCATTCATCTGGTATCCCTAAAATCGCACGATGCTTCATTTTCAATATGCGTTGCAAGCCGTCCCGTTATTTTTCGAGCCCGTGTTAAGCTCTAACATTTTCAACAAATTTATCTTGTGAAAAATTTTATTGTATTTAGTCAATTGTTCCGTAAATATACATCTTTATCATTCCAGATAATATTGACATTGCAAAAAAACTGACTGATGTTCAGTTCAATTAACAATTTATAAGGGTACAAATGAAAAAAAAAATGTTTCAGCTAAATTATCCACGACGTGGTAGCCTTGTAAGGTGGTCACGGTACAGGATTGCTGGTATTGGATACGCCAACTTATACCGTAGAATATCCTTCTTATTATTATTTTAATGAAAACTTTATACGAGAAATTGAAAGTGATACCTTCAAAACTGATTTAAATTTATGTATTAGTTGCCTCTATAATATTTAATCTGAATATTAATAAAAGTATGAAAACGTGTCCAAAGAACTAAAACTAAGCCAATAAATATAACGTACAAAAATTCTTGTTCACCTCAAAAACTGCAGGAAGTTGAAGCAGTCTTGAAATGACATCACCATTCCCTCTTTTCATCTCCCTGTTTTCTTTAGTTCTTTCATCTGATTAGATAAACAAGGAAGAGCTTTTTACTTTAAATAAACAAACGTCAATGCTATTGAAACTTTTGTTTTCTTTTGAAGTTACTCTTCTTAAGGCGCATTTGGGAAAAAAATACGAGTGTAAAATTTTACGATGCGGGTGTATAACGACCGCCAAAAAGTGTTTGCAAGGCGACCAAGTTCACGGTATTACCATAGCAACCAATAACAATTTTATGAGATTTACTATGATTCAAAGTTTTTTTAAACCGTTATCAATTGCACTTAATGTCTTTTTCACAAACGTTTTTGTTACGCTAAAGAAGTTTAACTTCTGACGTGTGTACATAATAAGTACACACATATTTATTTTTATTTCAAAAGCATTGACGTTTACAAAAACAGTTCTAAAACTACAAGTATTATAACATTTAAACATCACAATGTACATTTAAGACATCTCATAAGAACGCGCAAGCGTCTTAGTGTATAAATATATTTTTGATTAACGAACAAGATTTTCTTAAAGTCCACAACACCGCACAACGATTTTGAACTAAGGCAAGTTTATTCGCTTCATAACACTTGCAACCGTTTTCTTTTTGCCGCCGCATAGTTTGATAACGACTCCTACTCCGCTGAATCTTCTTACAGTCTGCTGAAACAAGATTATAATAAAGTTGGCCAATAAGAAAAATGAATTACTAGGTAGCAAGTAAAAACATTTCAAGCATTACATCAAGCAGTAAAAACCAGGTTGCGACGCTAGGTATCGCAAAGTAATCCAATCTTCTATTATGTGGATGGAGTTGCCACGAAGCTGATTCTAACAAAACAACATAAGAGAATGATATTTTGAATGATCACCACGAAGTACACATCCTCTGCGTTGGCTTAACATCATACTGCGCGGCATTTAAACATTGTTCCTCTCTACATTATATGACGTATAGAAATGAATAAGACAGATAATATAGAACATATGATACAGAACGAGATAGCAGTCTGGGAATTACAATCTAATTAGACTCACCGGTGAATTAGATTGCCCTCATTATTAAAAGGTGGTAACACATCTGCAACCAGTGTTGCAATTGTCCGTGGGCGGCGGTTATCACTTATCATCAGCTCAACCGTCAGCGCGTTTGCCACTTTGTCACATAAAAAAAAAGATTTATCGGTGGTGTAGTTACACCAATTGGTGCAAATTGTGTGCCTCAATATCGGTGCACTTCTGTCATATCTTTAACTATAGGTCGCCCTGTGAAATTGGACCATACTTAATGGTGCGCATAGTGTTTCTTTGCTGATTTAATGCTTTTTATACATAATTAAAAAAAAAAAATTAACATTCTGTACTCCTTCTCTACATAAACTATAAGTGTATTCCTCCGTCCGCGCAATTTTCGTAAGAAGGGGAACAAAGTTATTGCTTCGCGTAATGATGTATATATATCATTCAGAACGATACATAGTTGATATGAAATTTTCCATAGTGAGCCTCTGATTTTATGCTCGACGACATTTCTAGAGGTTACTAGTAGGCGCTAGGAAGACCCCTCCCTTGTTTAGTTATCACAATGCGTGATCATTCAATGACGAACGTAAAATCAAAAGTATCGGAAATTAAGCAGAAAACATAAACATTTAATAGTGATAAAAACTCACCACGACGCCAACAGGAATGCATTTAGTATTGCCACCGTATGATGAACGAAGCCACCAATTGTCCTGACCCAGAGCCACTTCAGGGGCTTCTTCCTACGTCTTTATTTTCTTTAAGACTGTGTGGGGGAATTAAGCAAAATTAGTCATTTTCAGGGGCAGTTAAAAATCATGAAAACGCCGATTTCACTTAGGCTTCGGCTTATGACGAAAAACTTTAATTCATCAGTAGGGGAAACTAAGCGAAGAGCAAAAAATTAATTTTAAATATATGAAAACTCACCACTAAGTCGACAAGTTTCCAGGAACTTTTGTCTCCACTTGATGCACAAAACCATCTTTTGGCTAGACTAACAGAAACTTCATGGGCTCCAGCAATTCTGTTATATCTCCTTCCAGCCTTCCTGGAAAAATTATTACATGAAAACACAATTTTAAAAGACGAACAAAATGACATGAATATAAATATAGATTCACGTTACATTTAAGATAATAAGTGAGCTAAATTACCTTTAGTAGATTGAAATCGAACTTGCCCGCCACCACCCATGGTCCCCGACGGTTTAACGGACCGAAACGTGGAAGATGCGCACGGTACACTACACTCGTTTGTTTCTGACCGCCCTTGCTCATCCCCTACAAATTGATTTAGCCGTTTTGGCCTGATGATTTGGTTACGCCTTCGAGCCTTTTTTCATGCCAATGCTAAGGCCAAGTACGAAAATGATAATTCAATTCACGTTTTTGTTCACTCATATCAATTTACGATTTTCTTTTGTTACATCGATGAGATTACTCTCAAGCTCAAAGGTCAATACAACTTCTAGCTTCGTTACGCCTTCAGATATCAGCTTGTATGTTTCTGTCGGAAGGAAACAAAAAATCAACAATATCTGTGACGGTCATTATTCCGCTGAGCTAACAAAATATTTGACTTATAAAGGAAAGCGATTGCTGTTTAATAATTACTGCGCGTTACCATAACATTAAAGAACAAAATCAATACGAAACCCTATGGGACGGGCATGATCAATAATGTTTAATAATGAAGGTGACGCATGTTATGGACGCAGTATGCTGCGCGTCATTTAAAAATTGTTCCACTTTACATTAGATGACATATATAAGTTAATGTGAAAGATGATATAGAACTTATATGAAAAGAGATAGCCGTTTACAGAATTGCAATCTAATTAAACCAATTGGTGCAATTAAAGTGCCAGGAGCTAGGAAGACCTCATTTTTAATTCTCATAATGCACGACCATTTGTTCCACCTCGTTACTCCAAATTCAGGTCAACTTCGACTTTCAAGACAAACGTAAATAGAAAAGTAGCGGAAATTAAGCTTAGTACATATAAAAAATGTATATAGATAAAAACTCACCAGGAAGCCAACAGAAATGCAATAAGTATTTTCACCGTATGATGAAGGGATCCACCAACTTTCTTGACGCAGAGCCACTTCATGGGCTTCTTCCTACACCTTTATATCTTCTTTAAGACTGTGTGGAGGAAATAATCAAAATAAGTAATTTCCAGGGGTAGTTTAAAAAAACACGAAAGCGCCGATTTCACCTCTGCTTCGGCATGTAACGAAACATTTAAACATATCTGTAAGCGAAGACAACAAATTCAACTTTAAATATATGAAAACTCACCACTAAGTCGACAAGTTTCCAGGAACTTTTGTCTCCACTTAATGCACAAAACCATCTTTTGGCTAGACTAACAGAAACTTCATGGGCTCCAGCAATTCTGTTATATCTCCTTCCAGCCTTCCTGGAAAAATTATTACATGAAAACACAATTTTCAAAGGCGAACAAAATGACATGAATATAAATATAGATTCACGTTACATTTAAGATAATAAGTGAGCCAAATTACCTTTAGTAGATTGAAATCGAACTTGCCCGCCACCACCCATGGTCCCCGACGGTTTAAATGGACCGAAACGTGGAAGATGCGCACGGTACACTACACTCGTTTGTTTCTGACCGCCCTTGCTCATCCCCTACAAATTGATTTAGCCGTTTTGGCCTGATGATTTGGTTACGCCTTCGAGCCTTTTTTCATGCCAATGCTAAGGCCAAGTGCGTAAATGATAATTAGATTCACTTTTTTCTTCACTCATATCGATTAGCTTTTATTCCATCGATGAGATTAATCTTACGCTCAAAGCTCAATACAACTTCTAGCTTCGTTATGCCGTCGAATATCAGGTCATATGTTTCTATCGGAAGGAAAAAAAATCTAAAATATCTTTGACGGTGATTATTCCGCTTAGCTATCAAAATATTTGGCTTATAAAGGTAAGCGACTGCTGTGTAATAATTACTGCACGTTATCATACGAGTAACAGGAAATGACAAAATCAAAACGAAATCCTATGAGACGAGTACGATCAATGATGTATAATAATATAGTTGACGCATGTCCATACTGCGCGCTGCATTTAAAAATTGTTCCACTTTACATTAGATTACATATATAACTGAATGTGACAGATTATATAGAATGCTTATTTTGATGAAAAAAAATTAGAAAAGTTGAATGCAAAATTAAAATTGGTGAAAAAGTGCCAGGAGCTAGGAAGACCTCATTTTTAATTCTCATAAGCACGACCATTTGTTCTTCCTACCTCATATCTCAAAAACTTCGACTTTCAAGACAAACGTAAATAGAAAAGTAGCGGAAATTAAGCTTAGTACATATAAAAATGTATATAGATAAAAACTCACCAGGAAGCAACAGAAATGCAATAAGTATTTTCACCGTATGATGAAGGGATCCACCAACTAAGTTGACCCACCAACTTTGGCTGGACTAACAGAAACTTTCATGGCTCCTACTTGACGCAGAGCCACTTCATGGGCTTCTTCCTACACCTTTATATCTTCTTTAAGACTGTGTGGAGGAAATAATCAAAATAAGTAATTTCCAGGGGTAGTTTAAAAAAACACGAAAGCGCCGATTTCACCTCTGCTTCGGCATGTACGAAAAGCATTTAAACATATCTGTAAGCGAAGAAGACAACAAATTCAACTTTAAATATATGAAAACTCACCACTAAGTCGACAAGTTTCCAGGAACTTTTGTCTCCACTTAATGCACAAAAACCATCTTTTGGCTAGACTAACAGAAACTTCATGGGCTCCAGCAATTCTGTTATATCTCCTTCCAGCCTTCCTGGAAAAATTATTACATGAAAACACAATTTTCAAAGGCGAACAAAATGACATGAATATAAATATAGATTCACGTTACATTTAAGATAATAAGTGAGCCAAATTACCTTTAGTAGATTGAAATCGAACTTGCCCGCCACCACCCATGGTCCCCGACGGTTTAATGGACCGAAACGTGGAAGATGCGCACGGTACACTACACTCGTTTGTTTCTGACCGCCCTTGCTCATCCCCTACAAATTGATTTAGCCGTTTTGGCCTGATGATTTGGTTACGCCTTCGAGCCTTTTTTTCATGCCAATGCTAAGGCCAAGTGCGTAAATGATAATTAGATTCACTTTTTTCTTCACTCATATCGATTAGCTTTTATTCCATCGATGAGATTAATCTTACGCTCAAAGCTCAATACAACTTCTAGCTTCGTTATGCCGTCGAATATCAGGTCATATGTTTCTATCGGAAGGAAAAAAAAATCTAAAATATCTTTGACGGTGATTATTCCGCTTAGCTATCAAAATATTTGGCTTATAAAGGTAAGCGACTGCTGTGTAATAATTACTGCACGTTATCATACGAGTAACAGGAAATGACAAAATCAAAACGAAATCCTATGAGACGAGTACGATCAATGATGTATAATAATATAGTTGACGCATGTCCATACTGCGCTGCATTTAAAAATTGTTCCACTTTACATTAGATTACATATATAACTGAATGTGACAGATTATATAGAATGCTTCGACTTTTGATGACAAAAATAAATAGAAAAGTAGCGGAAATTAAGTTCAGTACATATAAAAATTTTATATTGATAAAAACTCACCACGGTGCCAACAGGAATACATTAAGTATTTTCACCATATGATGAACGGAACCACCAACTAAGTTGACCCAGATCCACTTCATGGGCTTCTTCCTACGCCTTCATATCTTCTTTATGACTGTGTGGAGGAAATAAGAAAAATAAGTCATTTCCAGGGGCAGTACAAAAAACAAGAAAGCGCCGATTTCACCTAGGCTTCGGCTTAGGACGAAAAGCTTTAATTCATCATTAGGGGCAACTAAGCGAAGACTACAAAATAAATTTTAAATACCCGAAATTTCACCACTAATTCAACAAGTTACCAGAAACTATTGTCTCCAACAGATTCACGAAACCATCTTTTGGCTGGACTAACAGAAACTTCATGGGCTCCTACAATTCTGTTATTTCTTCTTCCAGCCTTCCTGGAAAAATTATTACATAAAAACACAATTTTCAAAGGCGAACAAAATGATATGAATATAAATATTACATTTAAGATAATAAGTGAGCTAAATTACCTTTAGTAGATTGAAATCGAACTTGCCCGTCACCACCCATGGTCCCCGACGGTTTAATGGACCGAAACGTGGAAGATGCGCACGGTACACTACACTCGTTTGTTTCTGACCGCCCTTGCTCATCCCCTACAAATTGATTTAGCCGTTTTGGCCTTATGATTTGGTTACGCCTTCGAGTCTTTTTCATGCCAATGCTAAGGCCAAGTGCAAAAATGATAATTCAATTCACATTTTTCTTCACTCATATCAATTTACGATTTGTTTTTGTTACATCGATGAGATTACTCTCAAGCTCAAAGGTCAATACAACTTCTAGCTTCGTTACACCTTCGGATATCAGCTCGTATGTTTCTGTCGGAAGGAAACAAAAATCAACAATATCTGTGACGGCCGCTTAGCTAACAAAATACTTGACTTATAAAGGTAAGCGATTGCTGTTTAATAATTACTGCGCGTTACCATAACATTAAATAACAAAATCAATACGAAACCCTATGGGACGGGCATGCTCATTAATGTTTAATAATAAATATGACGCATGTTATGGACATACACGCAGTATGCTGCCCGGCAATTAAAAATTGTTCCACATTACATTAGATATGAATATAAAGAAAGATTCACGTTACATTTAAGATAATAAATGAGCTAAATTACCTTTAGTAGATTGAAATCGAACTTGCCCGCCACCACCCATGGTCCCTGACGGTTTAGTGGACCGAAACGTGGAAGATGCGCGTATTACACTCGCTTGTTTCTGACCGCTCTTGCTCATCCCCTACAAATTGATCTCCGAGTCATGGCCATTTTGGCCTGATGATTTGATTACGACTTCGAGATTTTTTTCATGCCAATGCTAAGGCCAAGTGCGTAAATGATAATTAGATTCACTTTTTTCTTCACTCATATCGATTAGCTTTTATTCCATCGTTGAGATTACTCTTACGCTCAAAGCTCAATACAACTTCTAGCTTCGTTATGCCGTCGAATATCAGGTCATATGTTTCTATCGGAAGGAAAAAAAAAATCTAAAATATCTTTGACGGTGATTATTCCGCTTAGCTATCAAAATATTTGGCTTATAAAGGTAAGCGACTGCTGTGTAATAATTACTGCACGTTATCATACGAGTAACAGGAAATGACAAAATCAAAACGAAATCCTATGGGACGAGTACGATCAATGATGTATAATAATATAGTTGACGCATGTCCATACTGCGCTGCATTTAAAAATTGTTCCACTTTACATTAGATTACATATATAACTTAATGTGACAGATTATATAGAATGCTTCGACTTTTGATGACAAAAATAGATAGAAAAGTAGCGGAAATTAAGTTCAGTACATATAAAAAATTTATATTGATAAAAACTCACCACGGTGCCAACAGGAATACATTAAGTATTTTCACCATATGATGAACGGAACCACCAACTAAGTTGACCCAGATCCACTTCATGGGCTTCTTCCTACGCCTTCATATCTTCTTTATGACTGTGTGGAGGAAATAAGAAAAATAAGTCATTTCCAGGGGCAGTACAAAAAACAAGAAAGCGCCGATTTCACCTAGGCTTCGGCTTAGGACGAAAAGCTTTAATTCATCATTAGGGGCAACTAAGCGAAGACTACAAAATAAATTTTAAATACCCGAAATTTCACCACTAATTCAACAAGTTACCAGAAACTATTGTCTCCAACAGATTCACGAAACCATCTTTTGGCTGGACTAACAGAAACTTCATGGGCTCCTCCAATTCTGTTATTTCTTCTTCCAGCCTTCCTGGAAAAATTATTACATAAAAACACAATTTTCAAAGGCGAACAAAATGATATGAATATAAATATTACATTTAAGATAATAAGTGAGCTAAATTACCTTTAGTAGATTGAAATCGAACTTGCCCGCCACCACCCATGGTCCCTGACGGTTTAAAGGACCGAAACGTGGAAGATGCGCGTATTACACTCGCTTGTTTCTGACCGCTCTTGCTCATCCCCTACAAATTGATTTCCGCGTCATGTTCGTTATGGCCTAATGATTTGGTTACGCCTTCGAGCCTTTTTTCATGCCAATGCTAAGGCCAAGTGCGGAAATGATAATTCAATTCACGTTTTTCTTCACTCATATCAATTTACGATTTTCTTTTGTTACATCGATGAGATTATTCTCAAGCTCAAAGGTCGGTTTGCAACGATGGTTTTCCATCTTGATGGGCTGCCCTGGAGCCAACCTAATACAATCATTGAATCTGTCCAGACTAACATTTTTGCGTAAATTTCATTTTGTTGGAATATCTTTATAACTTTTCTTCTTATTCTCTTCTGTCTTTTTATTCCATTGAATAAATCTAGAAATGTTGGCCATCGGGTGTAATTACCAAAAAATGTTGAAATATCCAACTTAGGAGTGGCTTCCTACATATCTGAGTTTGAATTTTTTTATTTAACTTCTTACTGACGCGTTTAAAATGCATTTCATAGCCAGTACATTCCTTCTCATTAAAAATAACCGAACCCTCTAAATGTTGTCAGTTAAATTTTCAATATCCATGTTATGGATTAATCGTTAATATTCAGTTAGTCCTCTGCTGACTTAAGAAGTCCTCAGCTTTAGAGTCCTTTTGACTTTGTAACACGCTTTCCATTGTAGGACTGTAAAAAAGGAAAGATCTTACGCAAATGCAACTAAAGCTATGGCTTCGAACATTCGAACGAGTTGGGGAATGCTTGTTTTTACTTCATAAAATTTTATGGCTTAATACCTACCGAACCAACCATTTTTGAAGTTCGGCGCTCAAACATTATGCACAGTAGAGCCGAGTCCGTCTCCAAGAAGTATTCGTTGTCTCGAACCAATCCCATGCAGCGTGCGCACACAATAGTACATAGTGAGCAATATAATACAATTGTTACGATGGTTATTGGGAAGACCAGGAACTTATTTAATCAAGAAGCGATTCTATCTGAATCTGTTTTTCTTTTTGATCACTTTACGTAACTCAATGAACCCATGTTTTAGAAAGTCTTGTTTTTACGCTGTAGGCAACCGTATAACATAAAGACTCAGGTAGTGCTATATTACGATAGCCTGCGTTAGTAAAACTGAGGATTATTTATAAGTCAAACAGAAATTTCATTCGATTCTTTTTAACCAATAAAGCGACTTTTGTAATATTTGTACTGACTTAGTATGCCTTGATATAATAGCAATAGGCAATGACTTATTTGTTTTTTTTTTTTATTAAGATTTACGGGCTTATTTGTTGATCGATACAGAATTAAAACTGTACTTACGTTTACGTGGACACAGAAAACCGTCAATGGGAGAAAGAATGTTAGAACACAATAACAACCTGAACATAGTCTGAATATTGTCGAGATATTGACAAATGTACGACCGAGCATCTACTCTGTCTTTCTGTCTTTTACATAAAAATATTTGAATTGGCTGTGTCTATTAGCAAATATTATTAATCTTACGGCAAAATGATATCGTTTATTTGTAACTTTAATTACGATACCGTATTTAAACGTTATTATTTGCAAGATTACAGACTCGAATCTCAGTTACAAATGAGTTTATAGTTTATCAGAACGCACAAAAATAACTCAGCAAGTGGCTGTGCCTAAAGTTCAATTCGACGAAAAGTTCAAAAGATCCTAAGTGCAATTATCGTGCTTAAATGTTAAAGAGATAAAACCATTTGTGAAAATTGAAATGTAAGTTTAAGTCTTAAATACTTTCTAAAAAAGAAGTAATAGAGATACAAAAACGAAAACGATAAATTACAAACGAGTGCTGCGCGATCGGTCCAATAAGCTACGTACTTGGTTTTGCTTAGCTAGAACCATTATTGTCCTTTCAAATCCTGTAAGTTATACTAAACGAAGACTAAAGGGGCTTAATCGACATTCGTAAATAAAATCTTGAAAAAAAAATGAAACATGATGTTATACTAAAACCGTTCAGCGTACATCAATTGAATTTTTTTTTTCAAATTTGAATCTTTAAGAAACATTATAATAGACATCGCGTATAATCACCTAACTGAATCTTAGTCAACATAAAAGACCACATCAATAACAGATTTTTCAAGGCTTACTCATGCTTTATCATGTAATTAATTGCACAATATTAGCGGAGAAATCACAAAGACATACAAGCATCCTCAATTATTTCACATTATCAAAAACATGCTTTTATCCACGACACAAATCATTTGAAACAATTAAAAGAAAATACATCACGTCAAATAGCAAAACATCGCGTAACAATGAATACTAAACACTATTTTAACCGTCATCGTCTCCTGTCTAAATTTATAAGAAATCTCCATTGTCAATCATCGATTACCAAATCTATAACTACTTTGATGTATATTTGAATGTATATTTTAAACTTAAAAATTTTGTTCAAGATTACTCACATTAAATAGACCGCAAATTATGTTGCTACTTTTAAATACAAAACATTCAAAGGTTACGTCGAAATTACAAAATCAAAGCCACATCACATCGAAATATAAACATATCTCATACACATATATTCATGTCATATATACATAACATCACATATTTCTAATATATTTCACTAAATTTTGGATTTTTACTCATGCTTTGCCAATTTTTTTCATCATTATTTTTATCCATGCCACACTAATAACGCCAATTCAAAGTATATACAGAGCATCCAATAATATGGCACATTCTTCTATTTGAACTTCACCTAAATCTGCATTTAAAATCAGATTGCCAAATAATTCAAAACATTTTGTTCGATAACTTTCTGTCATCTTGTAGTTAGGGACATGATCCCATTGCTATAGAATTTCTGGGGCTTCTGATCAAAAAACCGCGACAAGTGGTTTTGGCAGTCCTCTCGTTATGTAAGCCTGGCACTGCCTAAATAATTCTGAAGAGACCGAAGCAGGAAGAAATCTGTAGGTGCATGGTCAGGACTATACGGCGGATACATTAACAACTCCCAGTCAAACTCTCTTAATTTTTGCTGAGCGGCTAAAGATGTGCGAGGTCAAGCGTTACCATGATGAAAAACCACACCCCGTCTGTTGATTAATTTCTGCCATTTTCTCTCAACTTCTTGCTTTGAACTCATCAGTTGTTCGCAGTAGAGTTCAGAATCAATGGTCCTGCCTAGCGGTAACAGCTCATAATGAATAATGCCCTTTCAATCCGACCATACACACAGCATTACCTTTTTACGAGACAACCCGGGTTTTGCCAGAATCTGTGAAGCCTGACCAGCCTTTGACCACGATCTTGACGTACGTGATCCACTTTTCACCACAAGTTATCAGGTTTTTAATCGTTTAATACAAATGAGTACGCGGTTCATTAGGTTTCTTTCAGTGAGGCACCCAAATATCGAGCTTTTTTGTGTTCCCAGCTTTTTTCAAATGCGCCAAAACTGTTTGTGGTCAATTCCCAGTTCTTCAGCTACATCGTACCTACTGAAATGCCGATCTTGCTCCACTTTTTCAAAAATGCCATGCATTTTAACGGTAACAGGGCGCCCGGAGCGAGGTGCACCTTTGACATCAAAATTTCTAGATTGAAAACACTTAAACCAAATTTGTGCTACTCTCACAGACACTGCACTAGGTCCATAAATGTCACAAATTTTCTTGTCTTGCGTTGGCTTGCAGTTTAACTTTTTTGTAGTAACATTTTAAAATGTATCGAATTTCTTCATTGGAATCACTCATCTTAACCGTAATAAAAACAAATGAAAATCACACATTTTCCTAATTTGAATACGGAATTATCTTATTTAAAATTTAAACTTTTTAATGATACTAAAACCAGCCAGATGCAAATGGTACAGCCATAGAGATTATATTATAAGTATATACATACTATTTGCAAAAAGACTTTTTCCCCAACCTAATATATTAATTTTTTATTCAAAATTACAATGTCAAACCCACACCTCAACGAAATATATGCATATACATCTTGCACTAAAATAATACTGTACACAGAAACAATAAAACGATGCGTACGTATGAAAATTCATATTTTTCTCTCTATTTTTTCCTATTTTTGAGACTTCACATAGATATTCCGCTACCGTAACGATGGTTAATGAGTACACGGTGCACCTCATCATATTATCTCAACAACAGGTAAATAATTTATGGATTTGGATAGAAGTTGCCATGTCTCGATTGTTCAATTCAAAATAAACTTAAACAAAAATTACACTAATTCACACGTGGTCGCGGACCTAAAGTCATTTAGTGATTTATTATTATTGTTATATAAATGTCTACACCCCCTTATGTACAGCATAGCGTTGCAACCGCGACAATAATTGAACACACTTCGAATGCTAGTTGTTCATAATCATCTCAAATTATAAACGTGAAAGAAACGCGTAATAAAAAAAAATTAAGAAAAAAAATTGTAACATCCAATACAAATACATCTGACTGATTTACACATTCAGAGACGTTTTCATTCATTGTCACAACGTCGCATTACAAATGTCTCCTCGTAACAGTAAATTTTATTTCTTTTAAATTCATTCAACCAATTCATATGCTTTGTGATCTCAAGAAATGAACTTGTTATGGAATATTTTGTTATGGAAATTTTAATAACTCTGTAAATATATATGTTTAAAGAAAGTACAAAACAAGTGTTCATTTATGGTCGCGTTGGTGGCGGCACGTTGTATATACAATTTTTCCCATTATATGAATTTTTCGTGACCAAGATAAATAATTATTGATCTTTCTATAGTTGATTGGCCTGTGTGTTGACCTAAACTTTGACCGAAATCGCGCATGTTAATGTATGTAAAAGTCATGCTGTCGTCGTTCAGCGAATGTTGCAACAAATGGCAAGAAATTTACTGTAATTCACTAGTGTTGTAAAATAAACATCAGGTAGGTCAAACAGTCTGCAATCCGTGATCAGGGACTCGACTTGGACAACTTTACCGAGATGTGAATCAAACCGGGATACCGACTCGGCCATTATGAATGGCGTCATTTTCCAAGCAAATGCCGTAAGTCGCAATGTCGCTAAATGCAACAAGCATCAATACAACTATCGCAGGTCAACACGCCATCACACAGCCCACCCGCATCCACAGCAGATATTAACACCTCGATCCTCCATCAACCAGAACCATACTATGCATTGATGTTAGGTGCAGATCACCACACAACCGCCACAAGACGCATTACCGCATATAGCCGCAAGCACCAATGTGACTATTGCGTAGATGGTGCACCGTCACATCACACCAATGTAATTCCAATCAACTTCGGTTACAAAGTTTTGAACCCAAGCCAAGTAATAGCTGACGTATCATAGTGGAGTACCCTAAGACGCCAACCACCACCAGACACCCGAAAGTCACGTGATCGCCGACGTATCATAGTGTAAACACTAAGACGCCAACTACCGCCAGACCCTCACTAAGCCGATTAACAGCCGACGTATCATAGGGACACACACTAAGACGCCAACCACCATCAGCCCTTCGATGATATGCCTACCAATAAGACATATCGGTTAATGGTGCCACGTTTACCGTGGTCCATGCAACTCTGTAGTAATATCCTTATCAAGTCCCAAATCCACCCATTGCATTGTATATATAATTTTTATTTGAAATTCTCCACATATTATTGTTTCTATTTACTTGGCCTTACTTCCATATGACCATGATATGAGACTCATATAGTGCACTTTAGTATTAGTGTCGCGATCGACCTCCGTACTTATATATGTACGATCGCGGTAATAAAGAAACAAAAGCAAGAAACGTTATTTGGTAAGAGTCTGAGCTGAAAATTACAGTAATTTCAAAAGCCATTAAATAATTTAAT